AAATGTGGTATGTATACAAAATGGATTTTTATTAAGCTAAAAAGAATAATAAAATAATGTGGGTTTTTTGCAGGAAAATGGATGGAATTTCAGAGCATATGTTAAGTGAAATAAGACAAACTCAAAAAGTCAAGAGTTATATGTTTTATATGGGGAACCTAGGGAGAAAAAAAGGAAAAAAAGGGAGGTCTCATAAAAATAGAAAGGAGACCAGTTGAATAGAGGAAGGAGACCTAAAGGAGGGAGGAGGAGGAAAGCAAGAAGGGAGGTATGTACAACAAATCCCACTATTATGTATAATTATAATATGCCATTTTTTTTGTACTGGGAATTTAACCCAGGGGTGCTTTACCACTGAGCTACACCCCCAGTTCTTTTAATTTTATTTTTTATTTTGAGACAAGTCTCACTAAGTTGCTGAGGGCCTCACTAATTTGCTGAGAGTGGCCTTGAACTTGAAATTCTCCTGTCTCAGCCTCCTGAGTCTCTGGGATTACAGGTTTGTACCACCATGCCCAGAAATACACCATTTTTTTTTAAAAAGTTGGACTCAATATCATCTTTATTTTATTTATTTTTTGTGTGGTGCTGAGGATCGAACCCAGGGCCTCGCATGTGCTAGGAGGGCTCTCTACCACTGAGCCACAACCCCAGCACTGGAATACACCAAATTTAAAAAATATATTTCTTGCCAGATGTAGTGGTACATGTCTGTAATCTCAACGACTTGGAAGGCTGAGGCAGAAGAATCACAGGCTCCAGGCCAGCCTCAGCGATTTAGCAAGACCCTGCCTAAATAAATAAATAAAAGGCTCAGATACTCAGATGTAGCTTGGTGGTAGAGTACTCTGGTTTTAATCATACATATTTAGAAAGAGAGAGGGAGGGGGGAAAAGAAAACTTAAAAAGTGTATTTCTTCTCTATGCCACATGTCCAATGTAGATCAGCAGGGGCACTTGCTCATTATAGTCATCAGGAACCTTGGCTGGAGGTTGTACCTCACCATATGCTTCTACAAGCATCACCACAGGGAGGAGAAGGAGCTGGCACAAACCCATGGCTCTACCAAGAGGTAACACACCTTCCCTCTGCTCACACTTCTTGCTAAAGCAAATCACACCATTATCCCAACTTCAAAAGAGATGGGAAAGTGTCATCCTACCAGATTTACAGAAAGGAGAAGCTGGGTATTTGTGAACAAACTCACTGCATATCAGGAATTTTTGTAATTTTTTACAACAAAAACAAACAACCTTTCATTATCCACATCCCTGGGTCCACTTTTAACTCCAAGTAGTGCTTCTGCTACTCTATTTTTATGGTCCTGAGGATGGGCTATCCATCATATTCTGATCCCACTTTCAAATGAAATTTAATTTTGCCTTAAAACTGAATAAAAATACTTAATCCTTGATAACAAGTTCCTCCCACTAAGCTATACTTGTTAAAAATAAAAGTAATAATGAGAATTTCCTTATTCTAGTTTCCTTTCTTCTTCCATTATGTACTTCTATTAAAGACCCAAACTAGGGATTAATAATGTGCTTTGCAAGAAGGACAATTCAAAAAATCTTCAAAGTAATTTGATTTTATTAAAATAAAATGTTGTGTTTTGATTTTTATTCAAAATAAGGATGGTTGGGGCTGGAGGTATAGTTCAGCAATAGAGCGGTTACTTAGTTCAATAAAACAATAGATATACTTAAAATTATGATTACCTACTTTATTGAATGAAAGAATGTGAAAAAGAAACTTGAACTGGTTTTTGTTTATTTGTTTTGCAGTATTGGGAACCAAATCCAGGAGTGCATAATGGAGCTACATTCCCAGTTGCTGAGGATCATGCTAAAATTGCTCAGGCTGCCTTCGAATTTGTGATCCTCCTGCCTCAGCCTCTTGAGTTGCTGGGATTATAGGCATGTGACATCATATCTGGCCACTCAGCATAATTTCATTGAGTTTTATTTAAGTTGTTAGGTGAGTACATTTTTATTGATGAGTACTAGCCCATGGTATAGATTTATCATAGTTTTAACCATTTTCCCATCAAGGATTTGGATAGTTTTTCCTTTGGAATTTCTTTTGATTTTTTTTTGGGGGGGGTACCATGGATTGAATTCAGGGGCAATTGACCACCGAGCCCCATCCCCAGCCCTATTTTATATATTATTTAGAGACCTGATCTCACTGAGTTACTTAGCACCTCGCTTTTGCTGAGGCTGGCTTTGAACTCATGATCTTCTTGCCTCTGCCTCCTGAGCCGCTGGGATTAAAGGTGTGCGCCACAGCACCTGGCATGATTTGCTCTTAAAAGCTCATGTTTTGAAGGCTTAGTTTCAGCTAGTGGCACTATTGGGAAGTCGTGGAAATTTTAGGGGTGGGACCTAGTTGGAGGAAGTAGGTCACTGGGGGCATGCCTTTGAAGGGTGTGTGCTTTTAGAGGGTGTGTAGCTTTAGAGGCTGTGCTTTGTCCCTTACCTCTTCTGGTTCTCTATTTACTTCCTGGCCTCCAAGACATGAGTAGATTCCTCTGCTGTGTGCCCTCTACCACAGTGTACTACTTGGCTATGGTCTTTAAGGCAACAGGGCCAAGTGACCATGGACTGACACCTCTGAAACCTTGAGCCAAAATAAATCTTTCTTCATTTTATTTTTTATACTGGGGATTGAACTCAGAGGCCTTCTACCAGAGTTATACCCATCCTCAGTCTTTTTAAATATTGAGATGGGGTCTTGCTAACTTGCCCAGACTGGCCTCAAAATTATGATCTCTTGCCTCATTCTCCTAAGTCTCTGGGATTACAGGTGTGTGCCACCATGCTCAGCTTTCGCCCTTTTAAATTGTTTTTCTCAGGTATTTTGTCATAGTGATGGATGCTAACACAGGATTTTAATAAATAAAGTTGCTATGGACATTCCTGTATAACCTCCTATGTGAAAATAAGTCTTCATTCTCTGGGATAAATGCTCAAGGGTGCAATCGCTACTGAGTCTTATGGTTAAGTACATTTTCATTTTTCAAGATAACTGCCAAACTATTTTCCAGAGTGGCTGTATCATTCCTACAAACAATATAAGTGAGATTCATTTTCAAGAAGGCATAACTAAAAACTAACTAAGAACTAAAAATCACAGAGATTTACTTCTAAATGTTCTCTTCTTCTCCTTCTCTTCCTTCTTCTTCATGTTTTGGTGGTACTGGAGATTGAACTACCAAACTGAGATATTTTCCAACTTTTTTTTTTTTTTTTGAAGAGAGGGTCTTGCTAAATTGCCCAGGCTGGGCTCAAACTTGACATCTTCCTATCTCAGCCTCCTCAGTTGCTGAGATTACAAGTATGTGTCACTGCTCTGGCTCACAAAAATGTTTTAAATCTTGGAAAATCAGAGGAAAAAATGATATATATTTAGCTTACATTACATCTGTCTTTATCCCAACATGGTTGTAAAATATAATTTTTAATGGAAGAAGGTGCCTCTGATGTACTTTCTGACATCAAATACAATTCTCTATTTCTCTGACACCAAATTGGTGACCTAAATTCAGGGGTTCATGAAGAGATGAGTCTCATATCTTGGTCCTACTCACCAGTTGTAGTCCAACCCATACTTCTGACTGATCAGTGATAAATTCAAGGGTTTCTGGGCTGGAGTGGTAGAGTACTTGCCCAGCATGTATAAGGCCCTGGGTTCGATCCCAAATATTGCTTAAAGAAAAAGAAAAGAGAAACAGATACTGAGACTCAAGGGTTCCTACAATTTTCTCCTCAGGTTTAATGATCCACTAGAACAACTCTAGAACAATTCACAAATCTCAGGAAATACTTATAAACTATATATAGTTTTATTATAAAAGATACAAGACAGGCAGGGCTTGGTGGTGCATACCCATAATGGCAACTATAAAGGTTGAATGAAGCAGGATGGTTGCAAGTTCAAGACTGGCTGCACTAGTTCAAAGCCAGCCTCAGCAAAAGTGAGGCCCTAAACAACTCAATGAGACCCTGTCTCTAAATAAAATACAAAAATAGTTGCTAGGAATGTGGCCCAGTGGTCAAGTGCCCCTGAGTTCAAACCCTGGTGGTGGTTTATAACCTGTATTTTCAGTTTCCTT